AAGCACAGATCGTGGTGCCCAGTGGTCAATACCCTTACTTTTATCCAGTGTCTGCTTCATTTAAACTTAATCAACTCCATCAATGAACTGGAACAGGGAAACGTCCCTGTGGTAAGAATGTTGTGCTTTTGTGGGATAATTCTTTGCTCTTTCCAGATCTGTTGGCATTAAACCTAAAATTGCACTATGATGAACTTTTTTTTAATCAATATGATAATGACAATTGGGCCTGAACACTCTGGTAGGAGTTATCACAGAGCAGGATCTGGCCCCCATTACCAAAACAACTTGTGGTCTGCAGTAGTCTGACTCCTTTTGTGTGGTTTTAATGCCTTTTCTTTTCTGACATTGAATATTGCTCAAGCTAGAAAATGATACATCTTTGTAGGGAAGGCTCATATGTCACAGCCAGAAAGTGAAGCAGACCGATTGGCTGTGTGAATTATCTGACTTGCTGCAGTGAATTATTTGCACTGTTTCCCTACCTAGTCAACAAGTTCCTAAGGTATAGTGGAGATCAATCAGAACTGACAGCCTTCGTGTGAAGGCTTTACTGTGTAAATCTGGCGGGCTCGTCCTGGCCATGCCGGCCCCGGCATCTGTATATCATTTTTATACTGCTACCAGTAGAGCAATTTCAAAAGTATTTGCAAGGAAAATGCGTGTCCCCATCTGTTCCTGGAAGCATAAATGTGCCACCTTCAGAGGGTTTTCACTGGTAATCATATCTTTAATGATCAACAGACTAGTGATATATACCTTTCCATAAAATGGGGTTTTCTTCACTTTATTGTGATTGGCTAGAATAAACAGCTTTTCCATATGTTAGGGAGATAAAATATAAGATTAGCAGAAGTCGTTTGTTGGATAGTAAACAAAAGAAACAATTCATTCCAAGTAATCTTTGAAAAGAAGCAACGACAAAATTAAGTTGCAATAACAGAGCATCTGAGGCCCCACGTCAGGGAAACAGACCTTGTTCTTTCTTGGAAAAGAGGCCGTTTAAGGGCAGAAATGCAGAGGCTTCTAGGAGGCTCTGGTGGCTTACTGAGGAGCCAGGGGAGGGAGAGAAGGGATGAGGGAAGAGGCTGCAATCCTATTTGTTTGTTCTTCTCTCTTGCAAAGGTCTATTTCTCCCTCCACTGCTTTTTAGCACCCCCCCCAGCATCCTGGGTAAGCTTTTGGGGGTGTTGAGGAGGATGCTACCCTGGTGACTTTCTCTTGAGGTCTTTTAGAGAAATGGGCGTGATTTGTACACTTTAAAATAATGCTTCCTGCGATGCAGATTTATTTCTCTTCTGCCACAGAAAAGGAAGGCAGGAGCTTCGGGACCTGGTGGCGATCTCCCAGGAAAGGCCAGCTCTTAGTTATCCACCCCACCTGTACAGGTCACAGTCTACAGATACATCCCTTCCCTCACCCCACCCACGCACCTCAGCTCTAACTTCACAGCAAAGGACCAGGGGCCTCTTTGATGCAGCCCGTCAGCTTTGGGGAGCCACCTTGGCCAAATCTGAGATCTTTTCCCTAGTGACACCTGCCAGAAGCCTCCAATTCCATTTTGTCTCAAGAAGCAGGAGAGAATTGTTAGTTATAAGGCAGCAGGATTTCAACAATGCCCCAACCTTCATGCTCTTCAGAAAGCAGGTATAAGCTGTGTGGATTGCTCTCCTACAAATAAGAGTTGAGAAGGGGGCCATTCCCTACCAGCACAGAGCACAGAGCCAGCCACTGGCTTATGGCTATGTGTCCTTTCCTGGTATGTATCATTACAGGCTTTCCCCTTAGGATGGGGGGAGGAGCAGGGAACGACATCCTTTCTATCTACCCTTTCCATCCACAGGATTCCTTGCTCTCCTTAAATGGTGCTTTCATCGCAACAGGAGTGTGCAGCAGGAGTGAGCACGGTCTACAGGCAGGGCCCAGGACTGCATCAAGCCCCTGCCAGCATCTTGCTCCTGACATGTTTGACTTCAGACCCCAGTAAAGCTTAGGAACAGCCAGAAGATGGTAGAAAAGCGTTGTATCCAAGACCATCACCAGAGAAGGGTGATGTAAGCCATAGTGTCGAGATTTGCCTTTTAAATTTTCTCCTAATTTTAGGCTGGATTACATGTAAACAGACAGATTTGAAGTTCAGAGTGACAAATAAATTGTAATTTGCTCGACTTTGGCCAAGTTTATTCTAGTACTGCACTTAAAACTAAGAGAAAGGGAATCACGGCTGCGCTCACGTGGCCTTTTGACAGAGTGCAGGTTTTCCATGAATTTGCTTGCAACAGAGAAAATTACGCCACGCATTGTATGTGAAATGTCATCTGCATTCCTTGAAGAAACTGGGCTTCCTTGTTTCTCTGTATTGTTTTTTAAATTGAATATCTCTTACTTATTTACTAAAAGTGAAAGTTAAAAATCTGTTTTTGTGAAAGAGGTAAATCTTGATGTTTGTTTCCTTGCCTAGAAGATGAGGCTGTCATTGTGATTGCGGCCATCTCACACTATCTCGGAAGTCTTGGCTGGAACAGGAAACGTGAATGCCTACACCAGAATAGAAGTCGCCTGCAGAGCTTATCTTCGGGGCTCACTTAGCTGAGGCCAAGAACCCCTGAACTGTAGGCATCCAGGAAAGGAGCACACTTTCTAAAACCTAGACCAACTTGATGGGTCACTGCAGACCTGGTCCACACGCAGAGATGGAAGTCGCAGCAACTATAGGAGAAGGGCTGAAAAATTTAAAACCATACACACCACGTTCAGGGTGAAAATTACACCAACATTGCAGTCTCTTTCCTCAGAGACTTTCCTTGTTGCCAGGAACCTCACCAGTCCGTATCTGTCTCACAGAAAATGTCCTTACTCACAGATAAACTAAGATTTCTACATGTCCCCTTTCATCTCAGAAGAAAATATTTAACTAAATTATAATTCATGTATTTGAAAACAGATAGCTTGATAGTGTTAATTTGGATTGTTGCTTAATGGTTGTAATATGTGTATTGTTACCTTTTTTTTTTAAGTACCTCTTCAGAGAAGAGCTGGCAGTGTGGTGTGCTGGAAAGAAATTCATTTAAAAAAGTAATTCTAAAGAAACAGCTCCTTTGGGAAGGAAAATAAACCCAACGGATAGCCAAAGTGAAATGAACTTTTAAAATGTGGTATAAATTAAACCCCCAAGTTAAAGCTACTGGTAAACTATAACAGTAAAGTTATTTTTAAAATGGAAATTAGGGGATTGAAAGTTAGTTGTTGGAGGTTACAGCTTTGGCCACTTTTGACTTCTACTGAGGATTTCTGGTTTGTTCCAGAAGAAAAACCAAGAAAGAAGCTTCTATGGCTAATAGCTTTAGAGTGTGGTGTACAAGGAGACTTTCTCTTCGCCCTTTGTAAACACCATTAAGTGAGGTGTTTTAGGTTAGGGCAATGGCTTAAGCAGTATGCAAGGGTTTTCCTTAAACCGAAAGGCAGGTGGAAAGCAGCGGCCGGAGCCTCCACCCCTGGGTGTGTGGTGAAGCAGTCTGGACGTCTGGCCGGAAGGAACCAGCTCATGTCTCAACAGTCTGGAGACAGCGACTTGTGAAGCGGGTTGCGAGCAGATCGCCCAGGACCAGTGGTCCTTGCTGGGCTCTGCGCAGGACTCAGGCGATCCTGGGTTCCCCTCCCCGACCCGGGCCCCTCCGGACTGCTCGGGGTCAGGGAAGACGCCGTAGTCCGAGAGGCCCATCCTCCCACCCGGGCGGTCCGATGCCCGCGAGGTGCGGTTGTGCCCGCCGAGCGCGTGCCGCGAGGGGAAGTGCGTGGGCCTGGCGTTGGCCGCGGTCTCCCGCGCACGTGACCCGCGGACCAG